GGTTAAGAAGTCTGGAAACCGCCACAGCTGCCTGTGATTCAGTCCTCTGAGGCCTGCTCCACGGTCGCTGTGGCCTGTGCATCCACAACAAACTGTGCTCCTCTTCCCATCAGGTGCAATAGATCCTTCCGATCAACCATCCAGGTTGTCTAGGGCTGGAAATTTGTTTCACTCTGTCTTTTTTGTGGGTTCTGCTGCTTTAGAATTTGTTTAGAGCCATTTTTTTACAGGTATTTGGAGGGGTTTGGGGAAGAGCTCAAGCAAGTCACTGCTTTCCCTCTGCCATCTTGGCTCTGCCCCCATCCATTTCTTTCTCCAAGGAGCAAGCTGCATCATGGCATTTACTTTTCTTTCTCGAAGTCTTGATTCCCAAACTCTTGATCTTGGGAACTCTAAAATTTAGGGTTACCCACAAGGCAAATCTAAAATTTTAGTGCTGACCAGGATATTCTTTCTCTGGCTAAAAGATAGATTCTGGGGCTATACTGTCTAATGAATTAGAAGTCTCCCCTCCTCTCCACAAGGGCATGTGGTTTAGGAACATTGTCTATGAAATACTTTCTAAGGTCACATGCAATTATATCTCTCTCTGCCATGTGTTTCTCCCATGAACTGTGGATTGCTCCTGTGGTTAGAGGGTGAAGGGAAAATACTTTGCTTTGCAGCACTCTGGAAGAAGAAGGATGAAAGGGAGAAGATGAAGAGGGATGCCTGTAGAGTACAGGAGAGATTGAAAAAAGCATGAGGGGGCTCCATGTGTAGGGATGGCTCCTCCAATGAAAGTGAATCCTCTTTAGTCTTAATTGTTAATCACTATGAGTTTCCTGTGTCCTTTCAGGTACCAGTGGGCATGCACTTATTCCATGGGGCTGAACCCTTTATATGGCTCCAAACAAAGACAGATACCCATTAGCCTCATCAGGTTGTTGGGGGTAGGATAATCATTAAATTATTGACTAAACTGGGCTGGCCAGCTTGTTTGAATGCCAAATACACCATTGCTTAAAAGGCAATTTTATGGAGAACTCACAAAAGGCAAGTGCTCACACTGAGGCCAGAAGAAGCAATACAAGGACACTCTCAAGGTCTCTCTTAAGAACTTTGGAATCGATTGTGTGACATGGAAGACATTGCCACAGGACCGCCCTGCATGGCATGCCCTCGTCAAAGAAGGTGCTGTTGCTCCATGAGCAAAGCAGAATTGAAATAGCTCAACAGAAATGAACACTTACAAATTGAGGGAATCCACCTCAAATGTTCACATGGATTATTTGAACCCGACCTGTGGTAGAGCATTCCGAGCTCATATTGGTCTGACCAGCCACAGAGGGACCCACTGTAACTTCACTCTAATATAGTGATGTCATTTTGGTTCTCTTCCAGAAGGAAGGACAACAACCAACCTCATCCCTTCAGGTTGCTCCCAAAGCACATGGAGACCAGGTCAGCCCCTCCCACCTTCCTTCTCCAACCCCTCTTTCTCTTTCAGGACACATCTCCTCCACTCCTCTCCAGGGTTTCCTTCCCTATCTCTCCTTACTCCTCCCCTACCACTGGCTCCTCCTCACCCCCGCCTCCGGCTCCTCCCCTCTACCTCCAGCTACCCTAGTCCTCGGAACCCCCCTCTCCACCAACCCTGGCTCCTCCCCGCTTCCTGCTGGCCTGACGCGGAGGAGTTAAGGGCAGCGAGATCCATCTGTGCGCCCTAGAGAGGCCGCTTCAGCCCACTGACCCGCCAGACCCGTACACGCATCCCTGCTCTCCTGGTTCCTGGGCCAGGCTGGTGCCTTTGTCTCTTAGTTACCTTCTCTCCCGTGCCCCCCTCCCCTGTTCCTTCCAGACCCTCAGCTTGGGCTTGGCCGGCAAGGCCTCTGGCTCCGCTGTGCCCGCCTCCTCCCGGCTTCTTGCCTCTCTGCCTGCCTGCGGGCAGCCGGAGGACAAGCCCTGTCCAGAAAAGGTGAGAGGAGAGGGAGTCCAGCTGGTGAGGAAGGGCACGGGGAGGGAATGGGGGACAAGAGGGTCGGGAAGAGAGGGGAGGCGGCAAGGAAGGAAGGACTGACTGCTCCCCCAACTCTCGACCAGTTCTGGGCTGCAGATCTGGCTGCTTTCCCTACTGTGCCTCTCCAACCATCAGCTTTCTCCCCCCACCTCTTACTCCAGTTTCATTCAAACATTTCTCCCCCTGTCTGGTCCACCCTCATCCCACTGATTTCCATCCCCCTGTGGGGGCGGGGTTCAAGGGAGAAGGGCCCCAGGACATTTTCAAAGATTTCGTCCTCTAGGAGTGCGATGGGGAGGAAGACTGAAAAAGGGGTGCTTCAGAGAGGAGGCTGGAGCCTGGGGGGAGAACAGCAGGGAATGAAGGAGTATGGACCGAGGACACTTTGGAGGGGAGATGGGTGGGGATTTGGGAAAGTATTTAAGTGGGAACGGTTTCCTTGGGCTCCTGGGGCTGTGAAGTAGGCTGAGGAGTCCTCTCTGATGGCTCAGTCTCCTCCCCCCAGCTTGACCTTCATCTCAGCTCCATTCCCTGCAAACAGCCATGGTATCCAGATCCCCACCAAATGGGGCTCAGGTGAGATGTAGACCCCTCACTCCTCCCTCTTACTTTCCTTTGCCCCCTGCCCCCCCACACTCCCCAATTCCATCCTGGGTGTGTTGGAGGTGGGGTGGGGTGGGGCGGGAGGGTGGTGGTGGTGGGAGGTGATTGTGTGTGTGTTTGAAGAGGAATTCTCTTTCCTCTTCCTCAGCTCACTCTCCTTCACACCTTCTCAAGCCTGACCCACATGGCCCAGAATTTCAGGATTAAGTGAGGGGAAGATTTCCAGTGGGGATTTATACATACATTCATTTATTAAATACACCTTGTGTGCAAAGTACTGCTCCCTGTGGTGAATAAAGGCAAATAAGTTAAATACAGGGTTCTTCTCCTTCATCTCTGTGTCTATCTTTATGTTCTTTACTTCCCATCTCATTCTTTATTTCTGCCCCTACTCTGTTTTTGGTCTGTCTCTCATGGTCATTCCCCTCTTGTGAATCACTCTATCCTCCACACTCTGTCCTCCTTACTGTATGCTTCTCTTTGCCTCTCCATTCCTATCTTTTCCTCTTTTGGCTGTTTCAGGGGCTGCTCACCTTTGAGGATGTGGCTGTCATTTTCTCCCAGGAGGAATGGAGGCACCTGGACTGTGCTCAGAGAGCACTCTACAAGGATGTTATGTGGGAAAACTACAGGAACCTGGCATCTGTGGGTGAGGTCTCATTTCTCCTGCCACGTCCTAGAAATCCTAATCCTACTTCATTAACTTCCTATAGGCACCTTACTCCCTGACATTTTCCTCCCAGGTGGATGGATAATTGGACTGGGTTTAACTGGAGTGAAGAACTGTAGGTAATATACTGTGCTGAGGACTTTTAAAAAATATTATTGTTTACATGGATGTGTTTAAGCCTATTGAAGTCAATATTAGTCTTATGTCTCTTTCTCTAGGAATCTAGAACCCTTGTTTAAGCAGCTGAGCTTTATAATTTGTCTAGTATCCAGATAGTCTCAGCTGGATGACTCTGAAGGACTTGCTCTTCAGCAATAGTGACCTTCTTGATCCTCTTGACCCATGGCCTCCCCTTCCCATTCTCATTTCTCCCTCTCCCTCCCTCTCCATTCCCCTTTCCCTTTTTCTCCTTCCCCTTTCTTTCTTCCTCCTTCCCTTCCCCCTTCATCTCCGTCCTTAGCAGACTGGGCCATCCCAAGTGCTGGCTTTGAGTCAGCAAATCTGTTTACCCAGAAGCAAATTCTGATCATGGATTTTACAGCAGGAAGGGAGGTCAGAGATCCCCCATTCAGTTCCCTTGTTTTGCCAGTAGGGATTAAGTGGGGAGATAAAATCAAAATCTTAAAGGATCGATCAATTCTATAAGCATTTATTTAGCCCCTATTATGTGCCAGGCACTGTGCTTTGCACTGGGTCTATAAAGACAAAAGTAACATTGTACAGGTAACTCCCTTGATCAGCTGGTATAAGGGGAGGGATTGACACAGTGGGAAAAATGGTTAATTTGGAGTCAGAGAACCTGTGTTCAAATCCTGACTCTGTCATGGCCTTTGCAACCAACCCATTCAATTAATTTAACTACTCTGGGCTTTGTTTTTCTCATTTTCAGAATGATTGGGTTGTACTAGATGGTTTCTACGGACATTTCAAACTCTAAATTTTTGGTCTTGTGATTACATATAGATGAGATAACAGATTCAGGGGATTTAAGTGACTTGCCCAAGATTACTTTGGTATCATCATTAATCAACTATTTATGAAGTCAAGGAGAGCTGAGGATTCTTTCATCTTTAACTCCTTTCTGTCAACTGGATTTTACCAGTCTCTAACCTATGGGTGGCCAGAGATGAACAAAGTGGTTTAGAGACAGGAGACTCAGGGATCAAACAGAAAGTTAATTTCAAAGTGAGGGAAAGGGCTTTCAAGCAAGGACACATGTGCCAGAGCCCCGCCCCTAGTGCCCTCCCCCCTTTAATGTGGGGAGGTCTCAATACTTATGCCGAGGGGTAACGGCAACAATGTGACAAGTTTGATTCGTAACAGGGCTTCATGACCAAAAACAATTCTGGAATTTTGCTGTGGCTGAGATCATCCAGAGGGTGAGCGCAAAGGATTGTTGTTATGCCAAGCTCATGGTACAGCTCGCTTGCTAAGCCTTAGCTCTGGGAAAGTAGGGTGTCTCCTAATATCTTGACATTTCCCCTTTTTGGCCAAAGGGAGGGGGTCTGAAAGAACCTCTCCCCTTCCAGCCAACAAAGGAGAAGCACATATAAGCCAAGATACCATGAAAGGCCAGTTGGGCCAAGGAGAGATGTTTCTTGGGAGGTCAGTTGCTTGAGGGGGACGCATCGGGGAAGTATGTCCCAGGTGTCATTGCTAGCCATTGTTTGCTTGCAAGCAGAATGTAGAGGAAGAAAATGCCAACTTAAATCAGGTCCTTGGTGATTGGGCAAATAACAATAAGGAAGAGGAAAAAAAAAAACTAGGACAGTATACTCAGCCCTCATCAGGAATCTTTGAACAGCTGTCTTCTCTGGGTGTTCACTGCTTTTGGGTCCGTACTAGACTAACCTTGAGGTGTCTGGAGGGTTCTGCCATCCACTTAGGAAGAAGAGCTTTCTTCAGATGATCCAGGAATCTGTACACAAAAGTTTGGCAGCTGTGGGAATAGTCAGAAGGACCTGGTAGGGGCCCTTAGAAGCAATGATCAGTACAGGGCCAGTTTTCAGGTAAGAAAACTCCTTGGTCAATCTTTGGATCTGAGTTTCTTGTCAGCATAACATAGATCCTTAGTTAAGAGTCTCTAAATAGCACGTAGAGGTGATGCAGTTTCCCAGCCACATAGGGCTAGGTTCAAACACTACAATAAGATTTTTCTTACAATTCCCATAATTGCATAATTACATTAAGTCAGGTACAGATCAAACTATTTAGAGGGCTCACAATGGACTAGTTCTGAGAAGGGAGATTTACATGTCACCAAGGTCAAGTCTCCTTGTATTTTAGTGACCCATTCTCAATATCCATTTAACCAGCACATTTTGAGTTCCAGATGTCTCATGTAGTCATCTGGTCCTTAGATCTCTTTTCTTGGACAATATGTTTATTCTCAGGACAGATCTAAAAGGGGCTCTGTCTCTGTTTCCAAATCTAGAGGCTCCTAGATAATTCTGACTTAATATAATTTAATACAATCACTGAAATTTGGTTCTTCAATCTTGAAACTTCAGAGAATTTCAGTTTATATCTCATTTGCTGTTTCTATTTTTACTTAAATCCTGTACCTGATATAAGAATCTTTTTAAAACATTTTATGAGCTACATTTCTGTTTCATAGCCAGCACCAGATAATTTTGATAGTTACTGCCTTATAATATAGTTTAAGATCTGATAGTGCTAAACCTCCTTCCTTTACATTTTTTTAGTTCCTTTTCACTCTTAACTTTTTGTTCTTAATTTTTTATCATATTGGCCCTGCCCACCCATGAATAATTTATATTTCTGCAGTAAATCTATAATTCTTGGATTTGTTTTGGCAGATGTACTTCCAGGTATTTTATACTGTCTAGAATTATTTTAAATGGGGTATCTCTTACTATCTCTTCTTGCAGGGTTTTGTTTGTGACATATCTAAAATTATTAATTATTTCAATTAACCTTTTAGTCGTCTTTGGGATTTTCCAAGTATATCATCATATTGTCTGCAAAAAGAGGTAGTTTTATAACCTCATTCCCTATTTTGATTCTTTCTATTTCTTTTTCTTCTCTTATTGCTATTGCTAGGATTTCCAGTACAATGTTGAATAATATTGGTGACAGTAGGCATCCTTGTTTCACACCTGATTTTATTAGGAAGCTTATCCCTATTACAAATAATGCTTGGTGATGATTTTAGATAAACATCCTTTTTATCAATTTAGGGAAAAACCCATTTATACCTGTATTTTCAATTTTTTAAGAACAGAAATGAGTGTTATACTTAAAAGCTTTTTCTGCATCTATTGACATAATATGATTTTTTTCTTTTATTATTAATATAATCAGTTATGTTAATAGCTTTTCTTAAGTTAAATCATCCCTACATTCCTGGTATAAATTCCATTTGGTCATGATGTAAAATCACAATGTATAATCTTTGTAATATGTTGTTATAATCTTTTAGCTAGCATTTTATTTAGGATTTTTGCATCCATATTCATTTATTTTTCCTGGTTTTAGGTATCAGTATTACATTTGCTTCATAAAAGGAGTTTGGTAGGATCTCTTCTTTGCCTATTATTCTAAATAATTTATTTAATATTGGAATTAGTTGATCTTTAAATGTTTGATAAAATTAACTTGTAAATCCATCTGGTCCTGGTACTTTTTTCTTAGGAAACTCATTTATGGCCTGTTCTTCTGCCTTTTAAATTATCAGACAGATACTATAAAAATGGGAAAATAATTTCACTTTTTTTTACCATTATACAATTTTATATGTAAAATCCTTAATCTAATTTTGAGAACTTATGATAGATAACTCATGACAGATAAATTTAAAAGCCAATCATATACATGTATATACTCCTTAAAGGAAATAGTCAAATCCTGTTGTTTTTCTCAAAATTTACTATTCCGTTTAATTATAAAACTTTCACATTACATCTTTGTCTTATTACTTTGTCTAATCATTTCCCCCTTAGAAGAATATCATCCCTATATTATAATTTGACCACAAATAGAGGTTAAAATTGTAAAATGTTCATACTTGCATCCTGTTATAGTAGCTCAGAGATGTTTCAGTATCTATTATTTAATAGATTTAGTATTGTATTTACAAAATTTCTTGATTATAGAAATTTGCTATAAAAGGAAAAAGAGGGACATAATTACAACAATGTCATATATCATAGCAGAGGGAAAAACTGCCTCAGCTTTGTTTGATTCCAGGCATAAGTCATATTTGACAGCCAATTATGTAGTCACAGTGTGTTAAAAGCAAGGCTCAGGATTTGCCATGTGGAGAATTTTCCTTTTCAGAAAAGAAATAGCATAATGAGGAAATAGAGTCAGGAGGATCCTACCTAGACTGTGCCCAGGTCATCGCCAAAACTTTTCCCAGGCATAGATATCTACTTTTAGCAGTTCCCAGACTGTAACACATGCCACTTTCTGCTATTGGCTTCATGACAATTCAGACAATTATTCATATAATCAAAACTTAAAACAATAGTAAATTATAACCCCAAGAATTTTTACCTCATGTAGCAAAATTTCACTAACCACAACTTAGGGCTTGAATATCTTTTCTGATATTTCCCTAACAGTTAACATTTCATTTATCCTTTATTTATAAATTAAAACTACCCATATTCTGGGACTTCAGACATACAGCAAATACCTTATAGTTGACTCATCATTAATATGTTGAAGCTACATCTTTAAACCACCCTTTACACTTTCATAATAGCCAAAAATTTCAAATGAAATATGCTATTATATTATTATTATCTACTTTATAACAAAATATACCTTATCAAATATTTAATAGTTTTCAAACATCTATCTTTTTTAAATCACATCCTTTTAAAAGCCCAATTCATATGTAACAGCATCCAGATTAAAAAGTTGTTTAAAAAGTTGTAACAGCATTTCTGTTACAATGGTCTCCCTAATTTTACAATATGAGATAATTTAGAAGTATAATAATAACAAACAGT